GTGCCGGCGGTGCCCGCGCCCCACGCTCCAGGTCAGTGGCGGTCGTAGGCGGCGGCGGCCGCCGGCGGGGCTGCCCCGCGGGCTGCAGCGCTGTAGTAGTACGGGGAGCCTGCAAGGGAAGAGCCGACCGTGAGGAAGACAAAGGTGGAAAGGTGCCAGCTTGCAGCACGTGCCGACACGGGCGGCAGTCAGCTCTCCGGCCCGAGCTCCGGCTTGCAGCAATAAAGGACAGGTAATTAGAATAAAAATCACATTCATGCATTCTGCATGAGAACGGTGCTGCCACCGCTTTGCGTTTCTGCCCGCTGTAGCTACCCGGTTCCCTTCCTCCACTCAAAACATTCATTACTTTCATTTACTTCACCCAAAACCAGCTCCAGCTGTAACATGCTACCACACTCCAACTTCCCTGATTTATTTTTCCCCTCCATTTGGGAAGAGGAGGGGGTTGAACCTCAAAGCATTCCTCATACTTCACTGGACTCCACAGTGGTTCCTCCTTTTCTGCAACTACTTCTATCAGGGAGTAACCGCCTGGATTTTGCTTAGCTCTGGCAGTGACCTTGGATCTCCATAAAGAAACGTCAGGTTTGCGCAACCAGGTCTTTAGGATCACCCCACTGCGACAGCCTCTGCGTGGCTGGGGAGAGTCCTTCGGCGTCCAACACATTCATCGAGCAGAGAAACCGTCTTTAGAAAAATACTGGTGACTTTGACTTGGTAAGGAACTTGAACTCAGAAAGTATTTTTACAACCACCTCCAGGGAATAATGCCTCCTCTCATGAAGTGTCTGATGCTCCATATCACAGCTTTTGAAAGGGACACTTAAGCCTCCAAGTGATCAGATTTATTCTCTGTTTTGTCACTGAATACCCGCATTACACATCTGAAGGGACTATGTGGGCCAGGCTTAAAGCGTCACAGATTGGTGAATGCTGAAACACTCCTTTACCGATAAAAGGTCTGAAAAATATTGGTGGTGATTTTGTGCTCTGACCAGCTACAAATCACATGGAACCTGGACCTTTTGCTTTGACTTCGGATGTACCTGGTGAGACACCGATCTGTCCAGACAGCAACAGCTATTAAAAACCTTCCCAGTGCGCCAGCAAAGAAACCAGAAAAGAGTCAGGCAAAAAATTTTCAAGGCATTTCCCGTTGGGCCTCCAAGCCCACCATCAGTTTCAGCTGCAGGAGCTGTAAGGCACCCCAGTGTGGAAGAAACCCCTTGGGAGGGCGGACACGTGTGTCTGAACCCCAGGCAGGCCTGGACGAGCAGCAAAGAGCCAACGCGAGGAACGGCTCCGGAGCGAGCTGGGCTGTAGGGTCTGGTTTCACGAGTGACTCCACCCAAGAGCCGCCGGCCATCCTGAACTCCCTGCCTCCACCCCGCTCGGGACAGCAGCCTGGCAGGCGCGGTCGAGGGTCTTCACGGCCAGGGTCTGATGGCTGTTCCACCACCGTGGCCCTGGCACACCCTCTGGAGCGGGACGGCGCGGCCGGGCTGATGGCTCCCAGCTCTCCGCTGAGCCAAGGGGCCTCCGCGTGGGAGGATGGAGAACCTCCCGGCCTCCCCACCTCTTCCACAGCCTCCAGCTGAAGGCTTTGCTCTACAGAACAAGTCGAGTGATTACTTGAGGGCTGCTGGCTCAAAAGCCTGACCACAGAGCGAGAATTCCACTGCCAGCCCCTAAGAGGAAGCCCACGATCAGTAACCATTGACTGATGGTGGCGTAACTGCAGCACACAGGGTTTCTTCCCCTTCTTCCCAAACTGTCCTCAGTGAGTGGCCTGGAGTGCTCTCCAGGGCTGGTGATAAAAGCTGCGCTGCCTGACACCCCGAGGAGACAGCCCCACCAACTGAAACACCTCCTGAGAGGATGGGCTCTTCCCCACTACCTCCCTGTCGTGGATCCACCAGGATCCATCCGCACGCAAGCCCGCCCGTTTCTTCTAGGCTGCTGGCGTCCTGAGCATCACGTCAGGAACAGCTCAGGCTTCATCGGCAGCTCATCTCCAAGGGAGCACAACCCAACGCGCCCAAAAAACAAGAGCTCAGCCAACATCTGCCTTTGCACGGTACCAGCAATACCACGGTGCCGCTTCTCAGTGCAGAAAGAAGAAACTTCTCATAATCGGGGTCCTACACTCGGTGACGCTCTGCTGCTGCAGCCCCCATGGGTCAGAAATGACGGGGTTTGGCAACGGGAACGTGGCATCTCCGCGTTGTCCTCAGCACCATCCTCAGCACCCCCGACATCCCAACTTAAATATCATGCAAATCCCCCGCTAAGGGCTGGGTTTGAAGGAGGTAAACCAAGCTTTGGGGCGGTGTCCCACTTGTTGAGAAGGGTAGTCTTACCATACACAAGAGTAATTCAAGACAGTCCACGAAATCACTGGCCAGGCTAAGTATTTGACAACTTTTAGGCAGGAGCCCATCTCACCTAGGTTTATTAACTAAAAGGTAAGGATTTTAAGCCATAATAGTGGAGGCAAAGCAGATCCCTTCAAGGGCCATCATCCCATCTACACTCGCACAGTGCAGAGCTGACAGTGAGGGCACCACAGCCGCGATCCCGGGCGGGATGGAGACTCCTCTTCCAGACAAGTGACATCAGGTGGACAAGCCCAAGCCTCAGGAACTGTATTTCAAGGAGAACACTGGAAAGATTCACATGGACAGTGAACACTGTACTCACGGGTCGCCTAAAATAAACCACTGTGTATTGTGTATCCCAGCTGAACTCGAGCCCTTAAGAACGTGGAATCCTTCCATGGCCAAATGAGGCAGTCCTGAACGAGGAGGGGCAAAGGGGACAGCTCACCAGCCTTGGAGATGTGCACGCCCCTGTCTAGCTGGGACTCGGGGATGCTCTCTGCAGCCGGTGAACTGGGGTCCGCACTCTCAGGGGTGCTCAGCTGTCAGTCCGTGTCCCCTCACAGCCACTCCTGCTGCCTGGGAGCCCCGGGGCACCGTCTCGCGTGGTGGGACAGGCAGCAGCTCGGGGGGGAACAGCTCGCAGGCCCGCGAAGAGCTGGGTGGAACTGCTCCAGTGCCCTCAGCCACCGCAGCACCAGGAGGTCAATGGGGAGCAGGGGCTGGTGGTGCACTGGCCACGGCAGCTCAGCTCGGGCACAGGGGTGGGAAATCCGGGGAAGCGATCCCGTGGCACCGAACAATTTAATCCTGACCCATGTGAGTCCCAACACAGCTGGAGGCAGCGCTTCCCAAGCTTTTGGGGTAAAGGGGGTCTTTTTGGGGTCAGGGCCTTCACTTTCCCCCTCCGCCCTCCTCCGCTGTTGTTCTGACTGCAGCTACCAAAGCCCAATATTTCTCTCATGCTTTCCAAAGGCCTTACACTTCTCTCAAGTTTGATTTTTCCAGTTTGCCTTTCAGCAGTGGAATCAAAAAGGCTTGTATTTAAAGTGAAAAATGAAAACATCACATCACAAAGCATTCGCTCTTCCTCCCTGTCACCATGCCCCCATCCAGAACAGACTTGTCTGTCCTTCCATCATTTTTCCTTTCTAATTCATACTACCATCAATTTATTTCCTGACACAGTCATTTCTGGTGCCTACTTGTTCTCTAATCTTTTCACAGAAACCCACAGAAGAATTGAATCTAATCCTAATTGACCGGCTCCAAGCCCTGCCCTTGTACGACGCCATCAAACCCTCGCAGCCAGCGTGCAGGGACCACGTCCGGGGTGGGAGCAGGGACCCCGCGTCAAACCCAACCCGCCACGAGCAGCACCAAAATGAACGTGGTGAGCAAAAATGGTAAAGTTACTGCAACAAGCCAGCACGAAATCGAATCGTTTTTCTTCATTAGACCGCGTTGCTGCTATCCGCTCTTAGCGTGCGCGCGTGCCCTGGGCACGTATGTGCTCGCTTCCTGTGCGCTTGTGCGTGCTTCCACGTGCGTCCCTGCAGTGCACCACTTGCAGGTCATTCACAGCACAGTGGGCAGAAAATAAATCTAAAAAAAAAAAAAGAGGGAAAAGATGCCCGTTTCTGCACCTCCTCTTCTGGCTTTGGGATAGGGACACTGGCTTCAGCCACTGAGCCGGAGGCCACGTGAGCTGCCAGGCTTTGTGTCGCCTTCCCAGCAAATCCCTCTGGAAATTCAGGGTCTGTCCTCACCCCGGCCATGGTCAGGGTGGGACTGAGCCATGTCACGCAGCAAAGAGACACCGCTCTTATCTCTCTGTTCCTATTCTCTTTTCTCCCCCCCCCAAAAAAAAAATCACTTTTCAACCCAAGTATCCTTTCTTCCTGCCACTTGCGAATCACAGCATCTCTCCTTTCAGCTCCTCTTTCACAGGTCGCAGCCTGCCGTGATTGCTGCCGTGCAATTCTTCCTTGCCAGCGCAGGGAATTAATTGAACATGGGTGCTGTTAAGTGCTTACAGTATTACACTTCCAGCTTGGTGAAGGGAGCGGGACTTAGTAAAACAAACTGTGTCAGTCCATGTACCAGTCCTGATTAATTTTGTCAAGGTTTCTGCTTTGAGGCTGATACTGCCAGAGCTTGCTCTCAGGAGAGAATTACTAAACACACTCACGTATACTCCTGAGAAGAGTGGAAGCATCTTGGATATAGTTTAAATTAACCTCCTCTCCACTGCGGGTGCTCAGGCTCGTCACACGGAGCCTTCTGGGTGTGCAAAGAGACTGGGAGCAGGATTTTAAGGCTCTGCCACAGATTCCTACTTGCCCTGAATTACCGGTGGGGTTAGCAGGCACCCGGGCAGGAGGGAGCGCGGGATCAGGCTTCCAGGGACTAAGGCAGAGCTGTGGATAAGTGTGATCCCTGCAGGGCAGAAGAGATGCGTCCGACCCGCAGCCTACAGCTGAAGACGGAACACGCCGCGCGGGTCCCACGCCTGTGCCTGGACCTGGCACTGCCCCTCGAGCAGCAGCACTGTGTGCACGGGCAAGCGGTGCTGGGCCACGGACCGTCGCCGTGCCCTGCGTGGTACCATGTCGACTTCTAGTGCCTTTCCACACCAACCACCCTTTTGCTTTTGGTGCTTTTCTAACAGAGAGGCTTGAAATGAAAGGGGATCCCGAGGTTCGGCTCATGAGAGCTCACTGCCCGGCTCTGACGTGGTGCTCACAGGGCACACGAGCGGCGCAGGGGCTACAGGCTGCACCAGCTCCCCGCCAGCTCGGCAATTCCTCCAGCAGTGACAGGAACAGAACAGAACGGGTGTTGTAAAACCATCGCTGGTCAGACAAGGGGATTTCCCCCTCCAGGAATCACCAGCACTCCCAGTTTTGTGACCCGGATGAGCTGGAATGGCAAGTACATCCTTAGGACTTGATGCACAACATTTCCCATTTATTTTTCTTTTTGATGCATCAAAACTGCCGGTCTCATAACTCCAAATCAGCGTGCCGCTGCACACTCAAGGCAATATAACGTTACCTGCGCAGCAACTGAGTCTGTGTTTACTGAAACGTTAAGACTTTGCAAATATCGAAACACAGTATTTCACGGAGGATAAAGTCAAGGAAGCCAAGATTACACATTTTAACAGCTCCCACCAAGCAAAATCCGCCAGCATTGTTGTCATTGCACCACGAAACATTTCAATTTCAATACAGCTGTAGTTTCTGGAGGGAAATGGCAGCATCCAAATCTTTTTGTCCTTGCCTCATTTAAACCCACGGTCACAGCGTGCTGCTGAGTAAATACTGCTGCAGAAATGCTCGCCAGCCTGAGACACGAGCCTTGCTGCGGGGAGCACGCCATCCCTTCAGCTCTGCTCGAGTGCCGTGCCTCCCACACGGCTGAAGATGAGGCGGAATTTGATCCCAAAATGTGTCATCCGTAAAGGGAACAAGAAAAGAGGGAGAACGGGGGAAAAGGGAACGGCACAGGTAAGAGTTGTTCTGGCAGCAAGCGGGTGGCTCCTGACCAGCCTCTGGTTTAAAGTCTCCCCCCATCGCAGACGTGCCCCGCGTGCTCAGCGCTTACACAAGCCCGTCACCTCCAGCGAGGAGCTGAGCCGCTCGCGGGCACAACCTGCTGCTGACGGGGTTGGAGGGCACGACCCACCCCGGTGGGGCAAGCACAGAGCTTCGGGATGGCTCCGGTGCACGTGTCCTCCCCTCGAGGTGTGCACCCGGAGCGGGGGGCGCGGTGTGCGGCCCCCGAGCCCCGCTGAAAGCCCTCTCTCCACTGGGAAGGGCAGGATTCGGGCCGGGCTTTCATTTATTTGTAACGTTATGCTAGTTTCTCGACCGGTTTGCATGCAAAATTTTAAAAGCCACCCAAAGTCTGGCTTCCTAGGCCTGTCCATGCGCCAGAGCGTTGCTGAAGTGGCTCTCCCGTTTCCCAAGGAGTTGCAAAACTGGAAAGGAAGAAAGAGTGGCATGTGCTCTTCCCCCTGGCTAAAGCCTCTTCCCCACATGGCCAAGCCAAAATCCCGCAGGCGCTGCTGGCTGTGGCCATGGAAACTGCGGGTTTAAGCGCAGGGACTCCCCTGGCTTTGTGCAGCTATGCCCATCCATATTAGCTGGAGATCTGTCCGCTGATTTATGATGGAAGCGCTAACAAACCCTTAAATGTGGCACGGCAAATAGCAGCATTATACCAGCACCATGGCATGAGAGGCAGAGGCTGTCTATTGCTCCCCAAGGATTTGTTTAAGGACAAGAACCATGATGAATACAGCCTGGGTGGCTCAATTACATGGGGACTCAATTACTTAAAACAAAGAAACTGGATGAAAAAAGTATGACAAAAATTCAGAATTATTTCGCTGCTGGAGGTCACATATAACAGCCCTGTCATCCATAAATCTGGAAATCTCTAAGGCATGCTACTCCTGTGTTGAGAGATGACAATTAATTGGTATTTTACTTACCTCATCCATGCAAATTATGCAGGGAAAAATTCTAATTACTGCATGCTACATGTATATAAGGTCAAAGTGGGCCAGCTTTTGACAGTGGTGTAAAATGGATTATGTTTATCCTTCACATGAGGGCCATGATCCTGCAGGAACCACAGGGCTCCCGCCCCCCCCGGCTTGCAGGGACCATGCCAGCGTCGGTGAGGCTGCGCGGGCACTGCGGTCCCTGGCAAGGAGGGATGGACCGTGCAAACACACAACTGGGGAGCAAACGCAATGCGGGGCTGGGGAGAAATGCAAAGTGCTTGTGCGAGCAAGGAACAACAGCCTGGGGAGCAGCAGGACTCACATTCAGCCGTACACAACTCATCAACTCAAGTTTTGTCTGAACAGGACTCCTCAAAAAATGGGGGTTTTGCCTTCTGACAACACCCCCTGTCCCTGGAAGGGTGTTATGGGGCAGAAATGGGAAGAGAAGAGGTTTGGGTGGGGGCTTCTTGCTGACGAAGGGAACCAAGAGCATCTCTGCGTAACCTGATGGAGACCTGCAGTCCTGCACAGGGGTCAAGCACGGGAACTGAGGACCGTGCCGCGACCCCCTGCGCCCCCATCGCCGCCGGGCTGCAAACGAGGCAGAGCTTGCACCGAGCCCCCCAGGCGGGGACGGCAACTTACCGAGGAGTCCAGGGTTGGGAAACCTCCAGGAGTCGTTGTACGTTGAGTATTGTGGGTGGCTGTATGGGCTCCCAGAAAACTCGCTCCCTAAGTTAAAGAGAAACAGACAAAACAAGAGATCATTTGATTTGAGGCCACAGCTACCGTTGCGGGTGGAAGGAGTTCAGCGGGTGCTGTGCTCCAGTGACGGCCTTAGTGCCGCTTTCTTTGAGGAAGGGCCACACAGGTGGGTGAGTTATTACATAAACGGGTGCAGCCACCTTTTATACGTCCTTTTTGTGCTGCAGCCCAGGCCTGCTGAGCTGGAGGAATTTCCTCAGCAGCCCACGCTGCAGGACAAGGCAGCAGGGAGGGATGGAGAGGAGTCTGGGATGCACCGAGCCAGCCCTGGCCCTACACCACTCACAGCGAGAAACACAACACAAGGACAGGGATGCTCAGACAGGCGCTCTGGAAGATGAACCAGCTGATCTTCGAGATACTGGGTACCCTTCCAGGCTCTCCAGGAGAGTACGGCCTTAGGTCCCAGACATCCATCTATCACTGCGGCCCAAGGAGAGGGATGCTTGCACCAGTTTCAGATGGCTTTGAAACCCTCCAGACAAAGGCACAAGAATGGCTCAAAGAGTTATTGCTATTTATCTCCTTGCCAGCTCCCGCTCTCCCCATCTGTTTGTTCTCTTCACATGTCACCTCCTGTTTCATACTTCAGCTGCGAGCTCTTCAGGACAGAGCCGTGCACCGTGGGGCTCCGACCCTGGGCAGGGCACCCGGATCCACCACCATGCAAATACCAACAACGCTGCTGATTTATGAGGAAATCTTCCGCAAATGACAGTTTCCCACTCTCCTCCTCTGTTTCTTCCTCCCCTCCTTCTCCCTCTCCCATACACAAATATATTCACGGACAACATAGCATGGCAGGAGAAAAAGTAGGATTCCTACGTCAAGAAGAGAGGGCTGCCAGGCTGCAGCAGAAAGCGCTCGCCGTGACCTTCACCCACTCCGGCCCTCAGCGCTGTCGTAGCCCCCGACCATCCTCAGGGCTGCCTTTCCCCGAGCGGAGCAACAACCCCCTGATGCCACGTCTCCACGTCTCCAGCTCCACCTGCAAACGTGTTTTCTGCCAGTATAGAAGTGACACGGGTGGGTCACTGCTGTAATATGGGTTACCTCTGAAACGTAGGGTCAGGACCGGGGTAGCTTGGTCTCACATGATGCTGCTTCAGTGAAAATGAGCTGCCCCTCAGCCTGCACCAAAGGATGCTGATAAAGGTGCTGACAGCAAGAGCCACCCCCCACTGCTCCGCTCTAGGGGGTCTCTGCTAACACCCCCTCCCTGCTCCCCATCGCCCTTCAGACCCATGAAGCTGCACCCCCCAGCCTCGACCCGCTCCCTGCCCCACTGGCAGGGCCATGAGAGGAGCCCGACGCCAGCAGCAGCGAGCGCCTGCACGCTCAGCATCCTTGCTGCGTCAACCACATTTCTTCACAACCTCCAAGCAGGTTTCCCTCACTGCCTCTAAGGGTTAGCATCAGTTCACCATGAGCCATGGGAAATGGAGATGTTTCCAAACTTTTCTTCCTAGCGAAGTACGTTGTATCTACATCCCCTCTCCACTCCTTGTCCTTATGGATGACAGATGACTTCAGTACCTGAAGGTTACCTCTGTCAGACCTCCCTCTCTCAAAGAATGAGCCATGGTGAAGATGGACAAGCCAGAAGAGACGTCAGGAGCCACCTGAGGTGCCACAGGGACTGGCAACGGTGTCCTCATTGCCCTCCACCAACCGGGGAGCAAGCTGCCTTGTGCAGGACACAGCAGCTCCTCCCCGGTCCCTTCTGCCTCCTGACCCGAGGACGATGCTCAGCAGAGCCCTCCCTGCTCCCAAAGCCCCTTGGCTTCCAGCACACCTCGGACCCAGCTCTGCCCTAGTGGTGTTTGCCCAAAGCACACGGGCAGCTGTGCTGGGCCTGGCTAGGATGGAGTTAATTTTCCCCAGAGCAGCCCTCAGAGCTGCACAGCTAGAAAGCTGATGATAACCCAGCAGTGTTTTGGCTGCTGCTGGGCTGCGCTGGCGCAGCACCAAGGCTCTCTCCAACATCCCACACACACACCAGTGGGCTGGGGGTGGAAAAGATCCTGGGATGTGACACAGCCAGGAACCGACCCAGGCTGACCAAAGGGGTATTCCAGACCATACGGCACCTGCTCAGCAATAAAAGCTGGGGGAAAGGAGGAGAAGGGGGGCACACTCATTATTTATATTTATGTTCCAGACCAACTGCTGCTCATCCTGAAGCTCAGGAAATGGCTGGATATTGCCTGCTGATGGGAAGTAGAGAATAAAATCTGTTTCCCTTTTTTTTTGCACGTGACCCTTGGTTTTGCTTTATCAAACCATCCTTATCTCGACCCATGAGTCATCAGTTATCTTTTCTTTCCCCTGTCCAGCTGTGGAGGGGAGTGATAGAGCAGCTTCAGTGGGACCTGTCATCCAGTCAGGGTCACCCCACCACCGCAGCAAACTGGCTGGTGACTTCATGGGTGAGATCCCTCCCAGTCCCTGCAGGCTCTCAGCCAGGTCCAGCCTGCGCTGCACACGAATCCCTTCGTCCCATGGGGGCCTCTTCTCGCTCACCACCTTCCCCAGCGGTTTCATTTCTTCCTTTCCTCAGGACAGTGAGAAACGCAGAGGCTGAGCCCCCGCACAAAACACAACACGGCACACGAGAGCCGACGGGACCAGGTCCGGCTGCCGCGTCCTCCCCTGGCGCTGCGCCGCGCTCAGGCGGAGGGACGGGGGGGACGGGGCAGCAGGACAGACCCGATGCCCGCTGCGGGCTGGTCGCACAGGGCGTGTGGCAGAGCCTGCCCCCTGCTCCGTGTGCCAGCACCACCACAGGCTTCCGACGAAGCCCACGGCGAGAGCTGCCCCCAAGGGAGGCCACGCGTACGCACCCCGGGACGGGACAACCCCTCATTTTCAGCCGTCCCGCCGCTCTCCCTCCCCGCTGCTCCTCTCTCCCGTCCTCCCGCGGCTGCACCGACCCGGTCCGTAGAGCAGGCGGCAGCGCTTCCCAAGCGCTCGTCAGCGCTGCGGCAGGGCTGCGGGTGGGAACGGGCTGACATTTCATTGTTTCATCCTCTCCTGCCTTGCTCTCCTCCCCCACCATCCCCACTGCCCTCCTCCCCGCACTCACACACAGACACACATCGTGGACCCTCTCTGGGGGATGCTCCGGTGCCTGTCAGGCTGAGGCTTCCAATTCTCTGTTTTTTATGCCTCAGTGGTCAGGGTGTCAAGCTCCTGCAGTACAGACCAGCCAGGAGCTCGAGGAGTCACTGAGCACCATCAGCTCGGTGACAGTATTGCTTGCTTCTTAACATACTCTGCATATCCATCAGCCTTGCAGGGAAAAAAAAAAAAAAAAAAAAAAAAAAAAAAAAAAAAAAAAAAAGAGAAGAGGGGCAGGAAGGAAAATGAGAAAAAAGAAATACGGGAGAGGGGAGGGGAAATGGAGAAGTGGGGGAGAAAGTCTCGAGCCCTGCTGCTACCATCGCAGCACTTGGGCAGACAAATGGTCCAGCCGTAAGTGAAACTAAGCTAGATGAATGAACGTTGCATGAACGCCTCGTGATTTCCACCAGATATTCCGAGGTCCATCAGCTACACTTCTTGACAGCACCGCTCCGCGGCCAGCCCTCGCCCCCTTCAAAAACACAACGAATCAGCTACCGGGGGACGCGCGCACATGCGGCGTGTTGCACACACGTGCACGGTGTCTGCCCGCCACCGCGAGGAAGGGGCGGCAAGTGGACCCACTCATGCAAAATGGTAAACCCCCTCCTTAATAGTTCCCACGTCGCTGAGACACAACGACGCCAAACCAAGGGCTTCTGCCCACCTCTCGCTGCAGACCCGACCCCGCGCTGCCACGATGCTTCGCGTGGCTGAAGGCCAAAAGGGGTCGGACCCTTCCGTCACCCCTGGAGGCAGAGGTGCAGGAGGGGAGGGAAGAACAATCCCCGGGAACGCTGCTGCTACAAGGCAGTGGCAAGCCCTGGGGGACGCTCTCCATCCTGAGAGGGTGGGAGCCCCGCGGGGTGAGCCCCGTGGTGGACGGACCCTTTGCTGCAGCCAAAACTACGTCACCCATTCCGCAGCGTTTTCTCCAGGGATTATCAGCTGGTTTCACGGTAAGTTCCTGCAAGTTTCCTTCGTGATGTGCAGCAAAACTGAAAAGAGTGAGTTTAAAAATCTCAAGAACCAAGACGGAAGAGGCCTCACAGTGTCTTTCCAATGCCATGGCTTTAGAGAACTGGCCCTGGAGGGGACGGGGGAGGATGCCGGCACCTCTGTGCTGGACTTGGGGCAGGAGGTCGTGGGAAACACCAGCAGAAACCAGCAGCCCAGTCCACACAGAACATGCTTGTTACACAGCTGGTGGTACCACTGGACTGAAAAACAAAATTTGAACAGATACTCAAGAAGTTGAACCTCGAAGTTCAACACGTCGCTCTGGTCCCCAGAGTCTCAGAAGTTCCAGTTTCAGTACAGCTCAACCAGAGCCAACTATGTGAAGGCACACACGTGTTCGGACACTTTTTGCTGTGTTTTCTCAGATACCAGGTTTTTGCACACGCATTTGGGATGGGAAGAAGCCGTCAGAACCATGGGGGTGAACAGTTGTATCCGAATGACGGCTGCAGGCAACACAATGTGCAGGTGATACAACGCGCAGGTGATACAAGGTGCCTTCCTCCCAGCGACCACCGCACCACAGCTCTCCCAGCGGGGAGAGCAGCCACAACCCCGCGGCTGTGCATCCCTCCTGCCACTCATCCCAGTCCCTGGTTTCCTCCACCAGTCCCCATTAGTGGGGTTGTTTTTCTGTCTGAGCTCCCGGTGTAATTTCATTTTCATTTGGCAGAAAATTAAACCAAACCAGGAGAAATTTAACCAGGAGTGTTTAATAAATGCAGCTGTGTAAGGGACAAGTACAGAAGGTCTTGGGACAAAAACCAGAATCTGGCCAGCAACAGCAACACCCTTCCCATTCCTCATTTGGGTCCTGGGTAAGT